TGAAATGAAATGATCTTTTATTCAACAACAATTCCAAATAAATGGAAAAAATTGTTAGGGTGATTGTGGATAACGCATAGATCCTACCACTTTTCAAAAGAGTTAATTTAAAAATAAGTAATTTTAAACAGAAAGAGTACAGTGAAACTGCAAAAAAATTTCAATAATTCAACATTTTAATATATACATAAAGTGCTAATGATAATTTAAAAAATATTAGAGCAAATTGAATTTTTTTATGAGTGATTTCAAGATCTTTTTAAATTTGTACAAAGATATATCATTGCAGATTAGGTGGTTTTTTTTAAATTTATTCCAAAGTCGGGGACCCGAGCAACTTATATGGAAAAAAATTTCTTTTTTGTCGATTTTAAAACAAGACAGTTTTGTTGTCGTGTTTCTCTGGCTTTTTTGTATTTGAAGTAATCAACGAATGCGTGCGGAAAAAGCCGAAAATTTCTGTAAGTAAACATGTTGTTGCGTGAAAAAGAAGACAAGATTAGATTGTGATGAAACATTTCTAAAATTTATTGAGTAAAGGTAGCAGTCTGAGAGCATTTATACTGCCCTTTTCATGAGTTAAGAAATTGCTTTAGTGTTGGATTTATACGTTGAAGTTCAAACTAAATTACAATAGTTTACATATGGCAGACATAATGCATTGTAGAGCAACGTACGATTTTTAGTGGAAAGATAAAATTTGTATTTGTTGATTAAACCCCGGCCTCTGGCGAACTTTGAAGCAAAATTTTTGATGTAAGTTACAAATGTTAATTTTTGATCTAAGTACATTCCTAGAAATTTGCAAACTTTTGTTTCACTTATACTTACGTTGTTAATTGTAATTTTGTACGGCTTCTCATAGTTTAGGTATTGGACAGGACCGAATACAACCAACTGAATTTTAGTTTTGTTTATGGTTAGTTTGTTGGCTTAGCTATTTTTAAGTTCGTTACTGACGTCTTCGATAAGAAATTCAATTTTATGTCCGCTCCGAAAAATATTTGAGTCGTTTGCGTACAATATGAAGTCAAAAAACTAACAAGTTACTGAGGTCGTTGATGCATAACAGTAATAGTAGAGGGCCCTGAATACTACCTTGCAGGACACCTCCAGTCACTGGGCGACAGGAAGAGGCGGTTCTATTGATCTCAACGTATTGAAGTCGAGCTTTCAAACCCCTTAAGTATTGTACAACGAAACCCGTATGCACATAATTTTTGAAGAATGCTGCCATCAATAGTATCAAACGCTTTAAATAAATCTAGAAAAACTCCCACGGTGTCAGTATTTTTTTTCTGCTGCTTCTCCGATGCATTTTATCAGTTCAATTATCTCCAGCTCGGTGGAATAACCTTTCCTAAAGCCAAATTGATTTTTATTTAAGATGTCGAATTTTTAAATAAAATGTACCATTGGTTGTTACATTAAGATTAAGCCCATTCAAGTGATGCTACTATTTTAATTACTTCGAACTAATGGCCGTTTAACATACCAAAAGTTTGAACTAATAAAAGTTTGTATTGTGTGTGTGTGGTTGTAACCAAACGTAAACTTCAAAGCAAATCAACTTGAAGAAATTATTATAACAAAAAACATATCAATGATCGAATGAACCATTATTATTCAGTATTATTTTATAAAAAAAATCGTTCGTAGTGTTATCGGGCGAATATTCTAATGATTGAGCGAATCATCCAAAATACTATTTTTTATTTTTGGGCGAAAATGTAATCGGGTAAATCTTCCAGGCGATAAATGTATCAAATGTTTGGAATATCGTTCTATTGTCGTATTGTTTCTTGTTGGAGATAGAGACAAATAAAATAAATCAATAATCAGAAGCATTATCAAAAACTGACCTTTTGAACAAAAAAGTTATGATTTTAAATAACTTTAATATATACGAAAAACATGTAGGCTTTTTGATGTATTTGCACTACCACATGAGCTCTAAAATTATGTTCTAAAATATTGTTTTATCACATTTGGATATGTGGTTAATTTGATTAACGATTCCATCTCGACAGCTATCTGCAGCAAAGTACGTTTTTTAAATCGTTAATGATGTAAATTAAAAAAAAAATTATCAACGAAATGATCACTTTGTTTTGATCTGGTTTTAACAAACATCCTGAAGAAATTTTAAAATTAATGTTTACAATTTTATTTAAAAAGTCACTTTAAGCATCCGTTCACTAAAACATACAAAATCGTAACAGAAAAGATTATTGATCAATACCAGATTATGAAAACAGGATTCTAACGATATTCAAATATAAAAACATCTTAATTCAGTCATAAAAATCAGAGTAGGATTTTTACCGAAGCCTGGAATCGGATTTTTAGGAGTCTAAGTCGGAGTTGGACTTTTATTTTATCCGACTTTGACTCCGGAAAATGTTTTTTATTTTAAAAAAATTTTTATTTTTTTTCCTAAAATTTTTTAAAGATTTTAGAGTATTTGATTTATTCGAATGTTCATTACGTCTCAATATTGATAGCAAGAGTTAAAAAATGACCTTTCTTTGAAGGCAGGGAGCATGTCATAATACATTTTAGACATGTTGAAAGTTGTCCAGTCGTCCACTAAGTCTTCACAGTATTTTACTAACCTAATGGATAACAAAACAATTATTCAATGATGGATAGTATCAAGGTAACATTATTTTTAGCTACGATCTGACACGCATATTTACTTTTTTAATATAATTTAATAAAATTTTTATAGAAAATTAAGATATTGTTCAAAAAATAAAAATATATAAAAATAGTAACAAGTCATAATTTTTTTTAATGCCAAAGTAGTTTAATATAATATAATAAAATAGATAAATTCTTACTTGTTAAGTTTATTCAGTCGAAGACCTATACCATCATTAGCAAATTTTTTACAATATAAGTCATTCGCGTTGCAAATAGTTTTAATGCCTTTTTCATTATCAAACGGTAATTGAAATTTCAAGTTCTTATCGTTTTGAAATGATATAAACGAATACAATATTAAAACTGTAAATTTTAAAACCAGTGCTGAAATGCTTCTATGCGTGATTCGCATCATCCTTTAGGTAGAATTTATTTTATATCTTTTAAAAACATTATACAATTGTTTTTAATGATGTAAAAAATATTAATTTACAATTAGATAAAATAAATTGGTAAATAAGTAAACATTTCAATATCAGTATTATAATGATCATCAAGTGAAAAGATAAATGAATTATAAAATTTGTTTATTATTGTTACAGTTGAGTTGTTATTACTATTAACTAATAAATTGTTCTACCGGCTTTTTGGCATTTAAATTATTTTAACTTAGCATACTGTTTTGAAAAACAATATGAGAAAATTAGTTAACAATAACTTTGACATTTAATTATTATTAATTACATACATATAATAAATTTAAATAATCAAAAATGCTTAATATAAATTATTGGTAAGTAACAAGCTTTTTAGAGAGTTATAAAATTATGCTTTTACACGTTGTTCATATTCAGTTACCCGACTAAACAAACAAAGGCAACTTATATTCATTCTTATGTTCCCATTAGCACAATGTATATATATATATATGTAAACTTGCTCTATTGAAGTTAACAACGATTACAATAAGTATAATAACAATGAAATATGTAATGTTAATTGAGTGTGTTGAGTCCAAATGAGATTTGATAGCACCACTCATGTCTTGACTAGAAGGCTTACGATGCATAAACAGAGTGGTGTTATCAAATCTCATT